TCGCCCCAGTCTGGCGTGGGCGAATTTAAAACGGGGCGAATTCAGAGTAAACTGTATATCTTAAACATAAATATTTTTGGCGAATTTAAAATGGGCCAAACTTGTTTTCAGTTGTGTAAGGGTGAAAATAATATGGGGCGAAAATAACCCTGTATACAGTATTTGAACTTTCGCTATAACTTTTGAATCATTAAAGATAGAGACATCATATTTTGGATGCCTTCTCCACTAATTAAGCTCTTTTGAATGACACCAAGGTCAATGACCTTGTGACCTTTACTGTGATTTAAATGCTATAAATACCATTTTGAACTTTAGCAATACATTTTGAACCATTAAAGATAAAGACTTCATATTTGATATGCATACTCCACTAATTAAGCTCTTTCAAATGACACCAATTTCAATGACCTTGTGACCTTGACTGTGACCTACATGCTAAAAATAACTTTTTCGAATTTGTTGTCACCGGGCGCAAAGTGTTTCACAAACAAATCTTGTTTTGATGTAGTTCAATTTTTGTAGAATTTTATGTTACATATAAAAGCCAAAAAAAATATTTAAAATCAAATCATTTTTATTTCAGTACTTTGTGACAGTGGGAAGATAGAATTTTAAAAATGGACATGGCTCTATATTACTGCATCAGAGATTAATCCAGGTTTACTTATAATTTGAAGAAAAACAGTCAAGCATCATTTGGAGCTACGTATGTCACTGCCTTAACAATATGCCGGCTTATATAACCAACCAAGCACAGTGACCAGTTGTACCTATGATGTTGGAAGAGATCCTGAAAAACCTTCCAGTACACTCTGCAAAGAAATAAAAATTCAAATGACTTGTATCAACACTTTTGTACTTCTTCTGGCTTGTATTTTCAGTAATCATTAGCCTTTAGCTTCCTTCAAACAAAATTGCATAAGTACTAACTTGCAGGTGTAAAATGTTTGAAACAGTTTGCTTGACCCAGAGGAAATTCTTTGCCAATCAGCAGTGGCATGAGCAGTTGATTGATGTCACAGTTCCACCGGCAAAGTATTTGTAGCTGCATGAATGGTGCCATATAAAACACTTTTAACAAGAACCTGGAAACATCCTAGAAGTGAGCATCTACAAGAAATTAAGTGAATGCTTTCTTGAATGTTAACAATGTTATAAAATGCTTGTGTACATCCTATATATATACAACAAATTACACATGTAACAACCAAATACACAAAAATTAAACTTCCTTAAATTTGTTCTTGATGTTTATTTATAGTGTATTAAAATAAGCATCCAATATTTGTCTTGTTATACTGAAGGATTGTTAAGAAAATGTCGTTCGTTGAAACAAATGTGCAAACAAGTTACATTCTGCACAGTTAGCAATTTTTGTGGAGAACCTATCAACATATATTTTCAATCGTTGGGATGTAATGTTAGGCAAAGAGTAGGAGAATTATACTTGTTAACAAATAATTTTTACCGATCAAATTTCAAATTGATAATTTAATAAGAAAGCAATATGACAAATTTAACTAGCATTATGGTCCATTGATTTTAACACCATGGTGTGTGAGCTTTTGTGAACTTGATACTGAACTAGTAAGTTTGAAATATTGAAGTAAAGAAAAGAAAATTTTTCCTGTACCTGATTTAAAATGAGTCCCAGCATCAACTACTTGGAAGTTGCCACACTCTTCATGAGTGTAAGAATTACTGGATATTCCTCAGTAACAGATCTATACTGGTACATGTAAATGAATGACACATTCAGTCGAAGCATTGTCCCTTTTTCAGTATCTCCTGGATCCCTGTAAAATATATGATGACAAAAGTAGATAAAATGTTCCATCATTGAATGATGAATGTCCTATGGACCCAGTGCGGGCCTGTTGGGAGACACCATTTGATTGTTCTAGCAATGTGTCTGTCTCTTAATTGTATGAGAACTAGTATTTGGGAAGGGGGTCATAAGGCTTTACATTGTGTTGTTTAACGTCCCACAGTTAATATTGAAAATGAGTATATACATCCCTGTGTATATGAAAGAAGTAATGTTGGACGTTTTTATTTCTGGATTATTATTTAACAAATTAAAGAAGAACATTCTATCAGGATTATGTTTAATCGACGTAGTAATCAACCCTGTATTCCCGTGATTGATGAATTTGGTTACATGCATTTCCTATTTGTTTTATTGACTTTGCATTCTACATCTCGACCTCAGCTGTCCCGTAAGCTAAATCCAGGCACATAGCAACAGGGGGAGGGGGGGGGGGAGGGAACGGCGCCTTGTCCCCTTTTTTTCCCAACAATACCTCTACTATTGAGAATGTGCTTTGAATAGTTTGTTGCCACACACCCTACTTCTTACCACAGTATAGAATAACAGTATAGTGATATCATGGAAATGGGGAAATGTAGTATTTTATGCAATAAAAATTGGAAGTGAAAGGAATATTTGGTCTTGAAAAAAGTTGGCACTAACCCCCCCCCCCCCCCCCGGAAATAGGATTATCGAGTTTGGTCAACTTTTACTGGTAAGTATAAAAAAAACAAATCTCTCTGGTTGCCCCCCCTTTCAAAAACGATGCTTTGTGCCTGAAATCAATATATGGGACCAATCTTTGGGGAACGTTTTAGTTTGAAAACACTATTTCAACTTACTTTTATGCTTTAAAATGGCTCGTGACCCAGTTGGAATAGCTTGTATGTACTGTATGTACGTCATTTACAAAAACAATAACGCGATTAAACGTTGTTTACCTGTATCAATCAATCCATTTTCTCCTCTTCCTCTTCTTTTCAATAATCAAAAGCGAACGACTTAACAAACATTACTTCCTGTTTCGCTTTCGTTTTCAACGGGAGAACTAATTATGTTATTTTAAGGGTGATTTGAAAAGAGATATCTCTTTCATTAAAAGAGATATCTCTTTAGCTTAGAAAGATATCTCTTTTTGAAAATCTATAGAGATATCTCTCTAACTATGAGAGATATCTCTTTTAAACTTGTTAAAGAGATATCTCTCTAACTTTAAGAGATATCTCTCTCGCTGGAAGAGATATCTCTCTAGCTTATAAAGATATCTCTCTTACAAAAAGAGATATCTCTCTTTCAAAAAGAGATATCTCTTTTGTTTAAAGAGATATCTCTATTAGTCAAAGAGATATCTCTACAGGCTAAAGAGATATCTCTCTATGCTAGAGAGATATCTCTCAAACTGAAAGAAAAATTTATTTTTCGAATAAATAGTAAAAGGGCTTGCCATATTATTAACTTAGAAATACTCCAAAACAAGTTGCACCGTGACAGAAATATGTAGACAAAATATCACCTCGCTCTGTGATTCAGTCGCGCTATGACATCTGACCCCCAAATAACATTCACACCGAATTGAACATAATTATTTTCTCTTCAATGGGTTCATCTAAGATAGACATTTGCAAATGTAAATATTTGATATTTTCATCAATAATTGTAAATAGACATAAAATTACTTGCATTAGGTGAAAACTTAGTTTTTTTTTGATAATTTGCATAAGAATTTGAATAAGGGCGAATAGTTAAAATAGACATACATACTTGCTAACTTGCATTAATAAAACGAAAGAAGCAAAATGATCTAAATTAAAAATATATAAAAAATCGTTTAGCTATATTATCAGTTATATTTTCTTATAATATTAAGTTGTATTTCCACTGACGAAGGTATGTGACTTAATGAATTCTAATCCAACAAGATTGATTGGTTGTGCATTGTTTAACGTCCCTCTCGAGAATTTTTCACTCATATGGAGACGCCACCATTTGCCGGTGAAAAGCTACAATTTTGTGCTAAACTCGGCACCCAGGGCCAGTGAGCAGTGAGGGATCTTTTTTGTGCCAGCACCTACTGCGACTCGGTTTATACAGTCTCATCCGAAGGACCGGTCTCCACGTCCCACACTGGGATTCGAACCCGAGACCTAAGGATCAACTCCTTACTTCGTGACTCTAGATCAAAAGCTCTAACTACGCGGTCGACTAATCCAACAAGAAAAGAAGCGGTTTAAGTATTCACTCTCATTTTTCTAAATAAATTTAAATATATGAATTAATGGCAATCTTTCAATGAAGGATTGAGATGGAGATAACTAACAGTATTCAATATCAAAGTCCATAAAAGAATACAAAATAGGAGCAGAGCAAACATAGACCTCTAAAACATCAGAGGTGGGATCAGGTGCCATAGAGGAGTGAGCATCCCCTGCTGACCGGTCACACGCGCCGTGTGCTCCTTGTCATGATCGGGAAATAACGGAAAAAATCCGTCGTCAATTCAGTGTATAAATAATGGACTAACAAACATCCTGCATTCTGTCATTTCTTTTTTATTTTATTGTTGATCAGATAAGAAACATATTGAAGATTCTATTTCAGTGCGATTTTCCTATGCTGATAACAATTTGTTGGAATGTTAGCTAGCATGAATCTTTTTGATATATGTACATAAAAATAATTATTTTATATAGATTTTAATTAATATATTGTTATTGAATTTCAACTATTTATGTTTAATAATCAACCACATACCATTTCTAAAGTTTTGTTACATTTTAGGCATGGTGCTCGCATTAGTGGCAAAATAATTAGAAAGATCCTATTGGCTAGTTATTGACCAATAAATAGGCAACACTGTTTACTTTATCTCTCAAATAAACTGCGCATACAAAACTGATAAATCCATATCTTTTTTTACTGCTTTGTATTATGTCATTAGATCTAGATATGACAATCAAGTGCAGTAAAACTAAACCCTGGCAATGTTCTACTTTTTTTGAGACAGGAGATCAATAAATCGTGCAGACCCCCCCCCCCCCCAACATAATATAAATAAATAAAAAAATAATATTAAGGAAAAAAATAACTTAGGACATCAATGGATTTATAAAAATGTTATGTATTCTAAATAGCTTGACAGATTTTAAATGTATTGATCCTTTTTCCCGATTTTTTTTATAATAATCGTTTTATCAGACATATGCTTGCTATTTATCTATATATCTGTAGATATTTTGCATAATGTATGTAAATGATCGACAAATATATTGTAATAAATTAAATAAATAAATGAAAATGAAAGGAAGAAAATTTAATGCAAAATTAGAAATATATCTACTGGTATATGAACTGTTTTTACTTGAAAGAAGATAATAAACTTCTTTCTTTCAAGTTTTTAGGGATTATCCCTAAGACTGTAATATACTTTGATAACTCGCTGAATCTGAAAAGGGTGCTCTCAGCAAATCATAATTTCCCTGTCTATTGCAGCATTTAACGATCATTTCACGATATTTTCTCCTTATATTTTTGTCAAGCAAACAAAACAGAATAAAGTTTCCTAGCGCTTGGGCACTGTCCCCTGCACAATGAAAATAACTGAGAATATTGTCTACGTCCATTGCTTTTCCGGATTTTGTGTTAGAAATCTCAATGAAGAATCTGATTGTTCCCCAGAATCGAAGTAAATAGAGAATGAGCCACGTGAAGCAGAATCGCTCATCTTCATTTCTTAGAGTCTCGCCGCCCACATCCCTCCAACAGTAGCTTTTATTTTTTTGTCTCTAAAAATTAAAATAACCTTCTTTATTGCAAACTTAACACATAAAAATAACTTATAGAAACGTTTTATAAAGCTGGAACATCTCACCTCTATGTACGTGTTAATTTTCAACATCATGTATATAGAGAACGATAGGACGTATGTAAGAAGTTCCCAGAATTTCCCGGTCATTAACATCAGCACTATTTCCTGTGTGTGGATTTCAGCGTCGTCTATCTTTATCCAGCACCACAAACCTGTCCCAGCTTTTTTTCCATTGTGATCTCGACCAAGCTTGTCTTCAGCCAGGACAGGAATACAAATAATGGCTGAAATCAACAAAATCAAAGCAGAAGACTCGCATTTACATGTTATAACAGTGATTGGTTAATAGTAATATAGATATTTACATTTTTGAATTAACATCATTGTCTGAAAATTTGATAAATGATTCTATAATCCTGCTCTTATCCTACAGGTAAGTTGCAATGAAGGACGTTGCAATTTGATTTTCAAATTTGTAATCTTTTAAAATCAAATAATATTTGTTTAAAATCATTTACAAATTATACAATTTGTCTCCCAAGCATACGTTCTGTTTGTAACCATGCAGTAAGTACTTCATGTATTCATACGCCCAATAGAGTTAGGTTATGAGATCTTGTCCATTTTGTGACAGGAAACCTTATATTTTCCAAAACTTTTTAACTCAATAAATTTCTAATGATTTTTAAATGTTGGAGTCATCAAATTTTGCGTTTGAAAACCGAAGAAGAGAAACGATAGACAGGTTCGAAAAGTAATACATATTCCGCGCATGTATTATATGATATACTAGTAGTTGAAAATAGCATACCTGGGATGGCCCAACCTGAAAAATGATACATGATCTTTAGAAATCTTTTCCTTCGAAAATCTCTCTGTGTCCGTATTAAAAGGTACAGATGAACTGCAATAATAGATGTCCACGCAAAAGAACTAAGGCTTGAAAAGGTCGTGATAAAACTTTGAACTTCGCATAGTGTGTCTGTCTTATTTCTGTGCTGAGAATCTAAAAGAAGGAAATGAACAGTGCCAATAATATAACCCGATGCTGTAAAAATATCAGCAATAGTAAGAAAAACAAGGAGTTTTCGGACAGAGGTTTGGAATTCTGGTATCTTGAAGTAAGTTAACAAAAGTGCAAATCCTCCAGTAATCGAAAGAGAAGCACTGATCAGCGTAATGGCCGCCAAAGTTGCATCCTTGGTAGAGAGATCCATAACTTCACTTTCTGTGTATGTTGTACATTGAAATAATGGTTGCAATTTGTTATGGTCAAGTGATAGATAAAACATTGATAAATAGAGGAAGTATTTATATGAATGTTTGTAATCTATTGTGATCTAAATTTTGATATTACTGACTGATGACATATACAAACACGTTAGCTAACTGTATAATTAGAATTTGTACAATTACATGTTATGCATGGTTACTTACATTTATCAATTTATTAACATTGTATCATTTGATCATTTTAAGATCCAACGATTCAATGAGATATAAGGAACTGTAATCATGCTCAAAATTTATTGAAACATAGAAATAAGGAACAGAGAAAACAGACCTCTAAAAACATCAGAGGTAGAATTATGTAATTTCCAAGGAGATGTTAGCATTAAAAATATCGTAATAAAATAACAATTAAAGACAATTATGTATTAAGTTGAAGCAATGGATTGATGAGGCACAGAGAGAGTTGGATTTTCTTCATGTTCCTCTTGTTGTTCAAACCTACGAAAACACACCGACATGTACTTTCCCCGAATTTCTTTATCCAGAAGACAAAATAGAATAAAATTTCCCAAAGCATGCGAGCTATCACCAACACACTGTAGGTATAACAGGAAATCATAATCATGACTGAGCAGACGACTACTTTGATTGGATATTACAAAAAAGAACCGTATTGTTCCCCAGAACCTCAGCAAGTACAATGGCAGCCAAATGTAACAGAATCGTTCGTCCCCCCGTCTAAGTGAAGCTGGATTCACCACCATTCTACTCCAACGATACGTCTGATTGGTTTCTCGCTGAAATAGAAATAAAATTTATTTTATCATTCACATTTTTAAAAGAATGTAGGTTGTTTTACTTATTTTTATATTTTTCGTAAAATGATCGTTGGTCGTGATAAATAAATTATAAATTACTTTGTTTAATGTTTCATGTAATAATTATTAAACTGAATTCTATTTATTTTTTGTTAAGGACAGCTAGCTTTTGAAAAGAGATGAAGTCACTTAAATATATTACTAAAAGCAACAATAATTGATCAAAGTCCACGAGTAAAAAATCATTTTTCTTGAATTTTGTATTTTTATTAACATTTTACAGAGGATTGGAAAATTTATTTTTATTTAACTTAGAAATCAATGAATACTTACTTCAATGTAAGCAGTAATTTTCAAATGCATGAATACTGCTAATGACAATATGTAAGTCAGAATCTCCCATAACTTTCCGGCGAGTAGCATGATCCCTCGATCTGTCGCCTGAATATCAGTTCTATTCAGTTTAATCCAGCACCAGGATCCTGTAGTTATATTATAGCTTTCTCCTAGACGATCATTCACCAACAAGATCACAGTTACCAGACCTACACACAGAAGTTAAAATAAAAAAAGATATTCTGTAGGCTTAATATACACATTTCAAATTTCATTTTTTCATATATATTTAAAAAAAAACGAGAATGCGCCATATATAATTGCTTTTTTGCCAGTAAAATCATCAAGGCTTCCTTTTCATTAAATCTGTAAATGCAGTATGTCAGAACTTTATCAAGCAAATATGTCTCCATTTTGTTAGCACTTCGTGAGTCAATTTTAGTAAAAACTTGTAGCTTACTAAATAGACTTACCTGGGATAAACCAGCCTATGATGTGATACAAAACCTTTAAGCAGGTATTTCTTTCCCAGTCTTTTGTTGTTCTGACCAGTAAAAATAGATGCACCGTAATGATAGAGGTCCAAGCAAACGAAGACATGTTGGAAAACGTCGTCACAAAACTCTGAGCGGTACAAAGGGTGGTGTTCCAAGTGTGTTCACTTATGTTATCTGATCTTATATTTGAAATCATGTAATTGAAAGTCCCACAGATGTATCCCAAGTCTGTTATGATATCAGCAATTGTGAGAAAACATAAAAGGTTTCTGAGCATGTAATGTAAATTATCCATTTTATACTGTGTTATTAACAGTCCTACCCCTCCTAGCAGGGATGCCAAACAGCTAACCAAAGTTATCACAGCAACTTTTTCCCAGTATTCCATCTCGCAAGGTTTGAATAAGAAAACAGCAGAGGTTGTAAAAATTGCTGAGTAAAATTGATTTATTAGCCACAGTAACTTTTATCAGTATGATAAAGAAAAGACAGCTTTATCCCAAGGTAAGTTTTTTGTGCGCAGTATCTACTTTAATTTATTGATATTACTGACTGTGGATCAAAGGTATATGTATTTACCTCTAGAGTTTTGGTGATAAAAAACAATTCAAACCATATTCTATCACTAGTCGTCAGAAATTCTTTTAATAACATTTTAATTTTGAGGACATTAAACGACATTTTTTTTTTTTAAATTCCATCTATTATATTTAGAAAAAGCAATAACCATGGCAAATGCAGAGAGAATCCGTATCTTTTTCTCTTTCGTTCACATACTCTCAGATAGTTTGTGGATCCCAAAACTTCCCCGCCAGCTTGCAAAATGTTAGCAAATGAAAGGTATGGCACGCCAAATTCACAAAATGAGCTAAACATAGTTTCATAGTCGATAAACTAGGTTTATCGGTTGTAAACTATAGTTTACGGACTGTAAACTATAGTTAACAACGTTAATCTATATTTTACATCTGTAAACCATAGTTAATGCTATAATCTATGTTTCAGAACCGTAAACTATTCTTAACACTTAAAACAATCATTTGCGATTGCAAAACAGATTATCTGATAAATACAGTTTCACGATTTGTAAACCATGGTTTACAACTCTCAACTATAGTTAACGATCTGATAAATATAGTTTCACGATTTGTGAAACTATGATTAACAACTCTTAACTGTAGTTTACGATTGTAAATTATAGTTTACAAACATGAATCTATGTTTATGAACAAAATCTATTTTATTACAGACAGATAAACTTAGATTAGCATTCGTTAACTATAGTTAACAACCGTTAAATATAGTTTTACAGATTAAAACTATAGTAAACGAATTGTTAACAATAGTTCACGGTTTGTAAACTATAGTTTACAGTCGATAAAGCTAGTTTATCAACTGTGAAACTATATTTAGCTCATTTTTGTGAATTTGACGTGCCATAGAAAGGTATATCCACAGAATACGAACGAATAGAAGCGTTTGATGAAAGTATGTGACAAAATGAGGGCCATTCCTCCGAGAACAGAAGCAGTTCCACTGACCAATGTAACTACCAATATAAAAATATCTTACCTCCTATTTTATGATTGAATTTAAAGTGCTGAAATGAAATTCCCCTCGAGAAGGGTCAAATAGCAACGAAATTGTATGACAAACGAGATAACTTCAGTTTTTCTTTACTTGTTTAGGAATATATCCCATTATTATATTGTCTATAAATAGCCCCTACATAACCAATTCAAACGCACGCGAACAGTTCATAGTAGTCACAGGAGGGTCAGTGTGCATGCGGCGCATTGTGACGTCACAATCATAACCTCAAACAACGTTATCAACAATGGTTGCAAGGGTGCAGCCAGCTATATATCTGAGTCTGAGCAGGAAAAATGTTAGACAAATCTATCAAAGGATTATTTGGACGTCGTCTTACACATAGCGAAACTCGGAAAGGAAAACACGGCAATCTGATTAAAATCAGATTGGAAAACATGGGGGTTACAAACTGTAATATGGAAAAAAAAAATTATTTTCATTGACAAAAGTTCGTAAATTAAGATGGTGTCGTCATGCAGCTTTCAGTCTTATGTAAGCCTCTATTCAAATCCGGACCATATCTAATGAAACAATTATGGACCAAATTAGTGTTGAATATGATTTGTTATTCACCAGAAAAATATCAATATTGACCTCTGATGAATAACAAACCATATTCTACCCCAAAACAGTCCATACTTGTATAATATCACTTGCATTTAGGGTTTATGTCTCCCAACTTATTTGATACCGAAAAGCATGATATAAGTGCGACCATTTTTTTTTTTAAACCGAGACGGGGTACTCACATATAAGTTGATGTTGCAGGGATTTCAGCAACCTCGTTTAGAATCAGTATTTATATAAATAAATAAATATAATATAATGCATAATCAATTATTGTTTATAAATTATATATACTTGGAAGGAGATATAAACTTCTCTTTCTTTTTCCTGATTATACTCAAGTCTGCGGTATACTTTGATAACTGACTGAACCTGAAAATGATGAATTCATCAAATTATACCTTCCCTGTCTATTGCAACAGTTACCAATCATTTTACGATATTTCCCCCTGATGTTTTTGTCAAGCAAACAAAACAAAATAAAGTTTCCTCGCGCTTGTGCACTGTCCCCTGCACATTGAAAATAACTGAGAATATTGTCTACGTCCATTGCTGTTTTGGACTCTGTGTTAGAAATAGCAATGAAGAATGTTGTTGTTCCCCAAATTCGAAGTAAGTAGAGAATAATCCACATGAAGCAGAATCGTTCATCTTCATTTTTTAGATTCCCACTAACTACATCACTCCAACAGATGTTTTTATCTTTTTGTCTCTAAAAATACCATTTTTCATTGCATATTTATAAAATAAGAAAAAAACATAGCAAACTTATTTGTTATTTGTAAGGTCAATACGATGATTTAGCGACCTAAGGAGTACAATATTAACACAGCCCATCAATATTACAATATCACGGTGGTCAATATTGTACTGCGAAGAAGTCTAAATTATCGTATTGACCATAATACTGCACTATTTGTTTTATTTTATGATTCAATGATTAAATGAAACAAATTCATTAAGCTGTTCGTGCCATCTTACGTGTTCACATTTGCTAATGAAGTCCTAGCCAAACGAAATGAGAAAAACGGGATCAAAGAATCTTAACAATTCTTGATTAAGTCCTGACTAAAAGAAAATACACATTGCTACAATATTTTTTCTTGGGGGGGGGGGGGGGGGGGTCGTTGGAGTGGAGTAAAGGATGGAGGATTGACGTCTATTCATGAGCCTTTTAATGAATATGTTTATTCTAAATTAAATTTAAAGATATACCTTCAGAAAAAGGTTTGGGGGCTGCAACCCAAACCCCACCATCCCCACCCAAATTATATATTCCCTTTTGTTAGATGTTCACCTGAATGGAAGTTGGTATCAAGTGAAATAGCTTTCCAAAAAACTATTTGGAATTTCCATGTCTATTTTGAGACTATTGTAGATGAATTAAATCCTTATATTGACTTTGAACGTCACCTGCAGATGGATAAATGTATAACGTAATATTTTTTCTACATTGTTGGATCTCAGCCAATCACAGAGGGTGGGGGAGAAATTATTCAATCATATAATAAAAATCAACATTTATTGATGATCACCTTACCTCGATGTACGTATTTATTTTCAGCATCGTGTAAACAGAAAACGATAGGACGTATGTCATAAGTTCCCAGAATTTCCCGGTCATTAACATCAGCACTATTTGCTGTGTGTGGATTTTCCTGTCGACTACTTTGATCCAGCACCATGAACCTGCAGTGCCAGCTGTTTGTAGATGGTTATCTCGGCCGAGTTTGTCCTCAGCCAGGACAGGAATACAAATAATGGCTATACTCAACAAATTAAAAGAGAAATGTCAGGACTTACAGGCACATATTTAAAAATTGTATATTAATAAATTAATGATTCTGCTATTTATAGTTTTCGCGTTATCATAAAATCTTATTTTAAGCTATTAATCCTAAAAGCCATCTCTCAGATTAAATTTCATTTTTTAATAAGATTTTTGTTTGGGTTATTACTTTTGCTTGCTTTTGAGAACGCAAAAGAATGTTGATTTTAGCTTATTTGTCAAAATACTCACACGATAAAGGTTTAAAAATTATTACATATTTCGCACAATGCATTATACACATTTAGTTTTGAAAAGCATACCTGGTATAACCCAGCCCGAAAACTGATATATGATATTTAGAAATCCTTTCCTTTGAAAGTCTCCTTGTGTCCGTATTAACACGTATATATATGAACTGCAATAATAGATGTAGGCCTTTCAACTGCCGCTAGGGTTCGCTGTTATGAACGATAACTCGTTGCTGAATCTTGTTTAGAGCAGGTCCTAGGTATCGAACTGTTTATAGACAGGTCAGTTTTTAGCATTTCCCAAGTGTTTCTCTGCTGTCAGTAGAATCCAGTGGTTTTAGAATTTCGCACTAATGTTAAACTTATTTACTATATAGTTACAGACACCGTTAAATTACATATAAGTAAAATTTTTAATTAAAATGAAAAGTGAAGTCTACCCTCCTTCGTAGTTTTAACCTAATTTAATTTTTGTACTCAGTCTTTCTTCTTTGTGCTTAGTAAAACAAGTAAGATAATTAATTGCTGCATTTACTCGTAAAAATATATATGTTCATACAGGAAGCGCAAAAGCGCGAAAACAAAAAACATGACATTATATTTTCTTCTTCATAACAATCGTCAAAGAGAGTTAAAAATTAATGTTGAATATAGTCTGCTCCCCATTCATTTGACCCTGTTATTTCAGGTAGAGTGAAGACATTCTCCTTCTTTTGGTCAACACTTTTGTGTACAAAACAATGTAAGGAACCGGTTACCCTTTTGTGTACATATCAATGCCAATGCTGAAGCAGCCTATATGTCATTCGTATAAACGATAACTCATAAATCGGCACTTAGTTGGTCAGTTTTCACACCCTGAGTTACCTGTCCTTAAAACACACCATCGAAGTAATCACTTACAAATAATTAAAATTTTTAATGATTTAATTAAAGGCGTGCATAAGTTATTATCTTTTTAGATAATTTCATGTATCTATAAATCAATCTCTGAAATGTTTTTTAACATATGTGTAACTTGAAAAATTAGTTGAAAGCCTAATAGATGTCCACGCAAAAGAACTTAGGTTAGAAAAAGTCGTGATAAAGCTCTGAGCTTTGCATAGTGTGTCTGAGGTAGAGTTTCTCTGCTGAACATTTAGGCGAAGGAAATTAACAGTGCCAATAATATAACCCGATGCTGTAAAAATGTCAGCAATAGTAAGAAAAACAAGGAGTTTTCGGACAGAGGTTTGGAATTCTGGTATCTTGAAGTAAGTTAACAAGAGTGCAAATCCTCCAATAAGCGAAAGAGAAGAACTGATCAGCGTAATAGCCGCCAAAGATACATCCTGGGTAGAGAGATCCATAACTTCACTTTCTATGACAGATGTACATTAAAATAATGGTTGCAGCATTTTTGTCCAAGTGATAGATAACACTTTGATAGAGGAAGAATTTGTATCAATATGTGTAATCTATTGTGAACTAAATTTTGATATTACTGATTGCTGACACATATTTACACGCCAGCTTATTTGATAATTAGAATTGTTATAATTACGTTATGCTTTGTTACTTAATATTTATAATTTATCTATATATTGTATATTTTACCATTTTAAGATCCAACGATTCAATGAAATATGAAGAAAACAAATTTTTTTCATGCCCAAAATCTATTGAAACAATTAAAAAAAGGAGCAGAGAAAATAAGGACCTCAAAACAGCAGATCAAAGGTAGAATTATGTAACAAGGAGATTTGGGCATCTTCTTTCGACGGTTCACAAAGAGTGATTCTTTGTCATAATTCGATAGTGGAAATATAGTGATAAAACAAGAATAGATATGGGTTACCCCATATCCAAGGATATTCGACTTTTTGATTTAATATGTTTAACAGTGTTTAATGACATTTAAAAAAATAAAACTGCACTGTCTAGTTAAAGAACTTGTGTAAATTTCGTGAGTCCGTAGCATTACGGTCACCCAGTCTCCTAACCATGCTAACAAACAGTACACATACCTATGTCCGCAAGACCAGTTAGCCTTGGTCTATACACACGTGCGATGGAGTTGTCAAACGGACTCCCGCAAACAGAGAAGTTTCGATGGCAGACAGAACTTTTTTTCATAATTAGATCACATGAATACAAATTTTGATTCCTAAAAATTAGACGACTGTCAGTTTAGAAATCCCCGGCCAGTTCGGGTTTTGTTACACATTTTACAGGTACTCTCCCGATGTGTAGTTTGTCTACACATGCATGACATGTGCAGGATTGAAAATTCCGTCATTTAATATACTATACACACAGAATGATTATTTTTTTCTCTTAGATGAAACTATATGATAATTAACGAACAATTAACATGATTTTATTACAGTTGTTGATATTAGTATAATCAATTCATCAGTGAAAAAATATCAACCGAAGAATGACCTATATATTCTCTGTTATCAAACATGTTAAAAAAAAGCTGAGGAGGGAGCGAGCGTAGGAATATTAACATTTTTTATTTTCATTTAGGGGGGAAAGTGATCTTTGGAGGAAAAATTAACATTAATTTTGGTTTCTTTTACGTATGACATACACAACATTATTCTTATCATGAACAGTTATGTTGTATCTACTTATTAATGATGGAACTATTTTCGTCGGAACAATTTGTGTGAGTCGCCGCTGAATACAGTAATATATCTTGCACTAATAGTATGCATTGATCGAATATATTAATAACAATTGAAAATAATTGAAGACTATTTATACTAGAATTTCCTATAATTAAGTTATAAATGTTTTACTTAAAATTAATCATACCGGTAATTAAATATAGATAACTAAATATGTATCATAAACTTTTAAATGGTGAGCTTAAGGTTAAATTGAAACTTACGGTTTGTCTTAAGTTGAAAGAACACTGCGAAATTAAATTAAAAGAGGGTAGCAACTTCCTGCGAGAAATTTTATCTAAAGGAATAATTTAAAACGCAAAAAATTGCACATACATACAAAAAAATAAAATAAAACAAGCTATTTAATGCATTCCCAAACTCAATCTTTCACTCTTAAGGATAACTCGCACTCAAATTAAACATGTATAGTGTTCTAGATTTCATTTGAATAAAACTCAGTTTTTTCTTACTTAGATGTTTGCTATGTAGCTTAACAATTACCTAATTTCAGAATCCATAGAGCATCAGAGTAAATTAAATTTGCAACATCAATACTATTTTTTCTTTCGTCTTGTGCACTTTTTGGACGTTACCAAAAGAGAAATTGTAAACTGAAGAAATCTCATGTTGATATTTTGAAACATACATCTGTGACATCAATCTGGGATGTTATTGGATTTTCTATTTAGAAAAGTATTACAAAATTCAGATCGTCTGCTTCTTCTCTGATGAAATTGGACAAAGATATGCATGATTTAATATCACAATTAACATGCATTTTTATACATATTAGAAGCAAGCATGCTAATCGCTTTTCAGTACTTTGATTATATTCATCAATGTTCATTCCATAAATTGTCTCTTCTCAATAAAATCATTTAGTCAATATTTTAACATAAACTAGGAAATAAACCAACGAAATGGTTGTTTCTCTTCACTACCTCTCTTTGTACAAGGTACAATGATAATATTCAAACTCAACCTACGATGCATTCAGTGATTCATACCTTGTTCGCATTTTGCAAAAATTACCAATAGTTTCACGATACTTTTTTCTGATATTTTTGTCAAGTAGACAAAACAAAATGAAGTTTCCCAAGGCTTGCGCACTGTCACCTGCGCATTGGATATACATAAAGAGAGTATCTGCATAAATTATCCCGTCGGACTGTTTATTAATCACAGCGAAGAAGAATCTTATTGTTCCCCAAAACCGAAGTAAATACAGAATGAGCCACGTGAAACAGAATCGTTCATCTTCATTTCTCAGGTTAGCGCCATCTACATCACTCCAGCAGTAACTTCTTTTTTCCTGTCTCTAAAAAAATAAAAAAAAACAAAACATCGCATCAGAATTCACTCGTTATCGTCGGCAGTGCTTCAGTGAAAATCAAAGATCATGATAAAGCATAAAGAGTAATAAGGAGTCACTTTTTAAAATAATTAAGAGTCAAAATCAGCAAGCATCGAGCATTTAGTTAAAAAATGTGGAAAGTGGCATAGAAACAGATTTGGTTAAAACTCATGTATAAATTTTCAGAACAAAGGGTATGATAGAAAAAGGCAAGCCAAAAATAATTTTTTGCATTGTTGCTATGGAAACCACGCGCCTTTCAAATAGCGTGTTTTGTACTTTATCATGACACTTGAATTTATGGTCAAACAAATACTTTTTTATTACTAGTCATGTAAAAAAGCTTTTTAAATTATTATTTTATTTATATGAATATACTCTATTTTAACAACTGTTGATTATTAAAATTCTCTTCACCTTTTGATGAATAAAACTAGTTTTTGGAGGTTTATTTTGCTTTAAAAAACAGCAAATTTGAAGTACTCTATAAGAAATCTACAACCACATTAAAGCTTATCAACATAAAATATTTATTAAACAGTATTTGTTCTAGAAGAATCAAGAAAAAAATCTGCAGGCAACTAAAGCATTTATATATGACAACTGATTTAAATCCATAATTTTCTATCAATTTTGCTTCAAATTACCTCCCTTTGGTATAGCTCTCTAACATAGGAGGAATAAACGGTAGTTTGCTTACATTGTTTTCAATAACAATGTACAGAAGACTAGCAGAAAATTACAAACTTGGAGCAGTCTGAGCCTCATTTTTGACGTTTTCATGAGTCTTAATTACGGTGAGTGATTGAAATTTTTACAATTTACCATTACAACAGTTACTGAAGAATGTATAGCATAAATTATCCATGCAGTAAAATATGTAACACTTGGCAAGTGTTTTTGCACATTTCAATTTTATTCTGAGTGATTATATATGTTAGCATTACTTATTTTATAACTAAAAACAAAAATTAAAGATTATGCATGGCCTGCGGAACCAGGAGGAGGGAGTATGCCCCCCCCCCCCAATAATATTGCTGATATTAAACTAGTCGCTCACCAGCTATATAATGATTATAACTTGATTGATGGTCGATTAAATAAAAATTCTGTATATAATAGTAGATATCTTTATTTACCATTTTAGATAATGCATGCTTTTCACATGAAAAATTATGAATTTATGAAAGCCAACACTATTATGAAATGTTTGTAAAATGGAATGACCTTTGTTATGGCGTCCGTAAAAAAGAAAAAGAAAAAGGGGCAGGGGGTTAACTCTGTACTTAATATATTTTAGTTTAGGAAAGGGGATTACCTTGGAAGTATTGTGATACAGACAAGTGTATTATGTACTGTTGTGGACTAGTGGTAACTGAATTGTATATATACCACAGTAAAATAATTAATTAAAAAAAAAACTTTTTTAGCTGATGTCATCCAGTGTTTACTTATAAAAGAAAATTCATATTCAGCTAACATTTTCTCCGGTACCACTGAACTAGGTTCAAATAATAAGCATCATGAGATTTAAAGCACGTAAATTTATGAAATGAATATCTATACTTCATTTTTTCGGGGGGAGGGGGGGGGGGGTATTGGAAAGATTTAGAGTTTTGACAAAACCTAGAACCAAATGACCTTTATTGCAAGTTTTTAAATTTAAAGAATATTTAAAATCAATGCGGTCTCAACTTTGTGTTGTATACTAAGTACTTCTGTTTTTAGAATGAAATTCGGCACTTTGAAGCCAAACTCGGAAAGAAGCAGAAACAGAATTGGATGAGCTGATATAGAATAGGACAGGAAAAACATGTAAATAATACATTTAGTAAAAACATTAACTTTTTAAAATGAAATGATAAACCATTGAGATTTCTTGGAATTTAATTGATTCCAATAAACATGCTTTGCATTCATCATCATTCCTCAAGCTCAAATAGAAATGGTTCTAAGTATACTGTATGACGGCAAAACTGTATAATATTTAATATTACATTTTAATTTTATCACTTTTTTCAGATTATGAGAATACATTATTACAGTACAGACCATTGATGCTGGAAGTGAGTGGATAGTGTTACTGGAGACTCAGGGATCCAGAAAAAAGATCCATAAATTGTACAGTGTATTCACGAAAGTGGATAAAATAAAATGTTCAATCTAAAAGTGACATTGTTTGTTTGTCTGTTAGCATTTTTTATTGATATAAATCTAATAACTACGTATCAATTTTTAGCATGCAGATTCATAATTATTAGATAGTCGAAGAATCTTAAACATATCTTTATATTCTGCATTTTGAAGTATCATAATTAAAACAAGGTCGATATTAAATGATCGATCAATTAAATGTTAAAACTGACAAAATCTTTTTGTGAGAAAAAAGAAAGGGAGCTAATTTATATATGGTACCTCATGTTGGACTGATGTTGGTGTGAGTAAAATAAAAATGATGATGAACTAGTTTAAAGTCAGACGACACGTTCCTCAAATTTATGTTTTGTATCTCTTGGTATTATATATAAAAAAATATTCATATTTGTCATTCTTTTCTGATTTCTACATTGTTTTCGAAATGTTTTTTAGATATAGGAATGCCCATTAGGGTTATTAATGAATATCTTTTAGGGTCAGTTCAAGTTTAGACATTCATATATATATATAGCTCTTCAGGATTTTTGTTTTAGGCACCAGTATAGATACTGAGGTCTTAACTGTCTTGCAATATTGTTTCTTAATAAGGACAGCAGGAGAATATATCATCGGTTCAATACCAAAGGTTTCAGTCATTCATTCTTGACAGACATGGTATCATTTTTGAAAGTGCATGGTATGGGATAGGCATAAAAAACTGCAAGAAAAAAAGGGGGGAAATTCACCAAACTCGGAGGGGGTAACATCAGGTTATGTTGAGAAAAAAATTGGGTGGGGATGTCATCCCCCCTACCCAACCCAAACCTGATGCTACATGCCTGATTGATATGGTTTTACTTTAAAATAATGTGAGCTGTCATAGTGACTCTCTTTCATAAACTATAATTATTGTGAGCAAGCTCATAAAAAAAATGCTATTGCATTAAATGTTTTTATTTCAAAAAAGGTCCAAATATTAATTAAAAACCTTTTTAAAATTTTGCTAGTGCAGATATACATATTAAAAATGACTATGACATACATGTATACTCAAGTCATACATGTAGGTAGTAAAACCATTGTGTTGAGCACAAACTTCCAATAAATATGTAAATGTGCCAAACTCATATAGTACACTTTTACTGCAATGACCTTGAAAAAGCTATGTCCTTGAGTCGAGGTCAAACATGTTCAAATGAACTTCAAGGTCATGACAAACCTACAGCTCAAAAATAATATCCGAGATGAAACTTCAAGTCTTTTCATTAGAATGTTACAGAATGGGCAAAGATTGCACTATTCTTCTACCAATGACCTTGAACTTGTTCAAATGACCTTGGGTAAAGTTTTTGACACATCTCTAGATCACAAGCAATCTTAATATCAAGTATGAACTTTCAGTGGAACTTCATTAAAATGTTATGGACAAGGCAAAATTTTACATACATATGGATTGGTGAACAAGGTGATTGCTACCCCCCCCCCCCTTTTCCAAGTTTCGTTTATGAGGAATGTAAAATTCCTTTTGAAATTAAATATGCATTTATTTATCAACAATAGTAAAATTATGAGTATGCTTTGATCAGAACAAATATGACCAATATAATGGACACTATACATGTATTCAAATTACCCCCGTCCCTTCAAAAAAGCTTTTAATGCCAGATTGTCACGTATTTTAACCATTTGTAACTTTTTTCTATTAAAGTTGCCTGCAAATTTTATTGTATAGATATTACATATAGATAACCCCTAACAAGATCACATCATTAATTTTTCCAGCAGTGGTTGTAGATTTTGTGTATATAGTGATAAACATATGTAATTTTTTTTCAAAAATAATAAGCATTGACGCCATGTTCTTTTCCCGTTGTCATGGCAACAATATGACTACAGAAATTTTGTTTTTCCTATTTTTGGAGAATAAAGTAATTCCATCTTTTAACAAATAAAGTAACCAAAATACCTTATCTTATCACGTTCAGAAAACATATTCATAGAAAAATGTCTAAAAATCATTGATTTTCATGAGGATTTATGAACCCGTTGCTAAGGAAATGAATTTCCTTGGATACCAGTCCCTACATACGTTCGAAAAAAATTTTAATTGTGTTTTAGCATTAGGTAGGACAAAATCTTTCATATACCAAAAGCTTTTGAAAAAATAAAATTTTGACTTTCCATTCAATGCTCGATGCTTGCTGATTTTGACTCTTAAGAAGATGCCATAATGAAAATAATTTTTACCTCAAAGTACGTGTTTATCTTCAGTAACATATACATCGAAAATGACAGGACATACGTCATTAGTTCCCACAGTTTCCCGGACATTAGCATCAACACTTTGTCCGGGGTTCCATCGCTGTGTTCGACCTTGACCCAACACCACAGACCGGTGACTGTAAGTTGTCCATCTCGACCAAGCTTGTCCATGATCAGAAAACAGATAGTGATGATAGCTACAACCAGCAAAATCTAATATTATATATGACCTCAAAAGGACTGCACTTTAAAATGTGATTTTTTTTCTCGGACAAACAGTAAAACAAACATACAAGCATATACAAATAAACGGATGGACAGAGTATAAAGTATACTAAGTATGTCCCGAAATTTTGTTTACTGGGCATAAAAAAGGAAAGTACTGTATGACTGCATCAAGGAAATATTACACAAGAGATCAAGAAATGAAAACCCTACCTGGGCCAACCCAGCCTAAAATATAATAAACGATTTTCAGAAGGCGATTTCTTTCAAAGTCCTGTTGTATTCTAATGGCCAAAAACAAATGAACTGCAATGATGGATGTCCAAGCAAATGAACTAAGGCTGGCGAATGTTGTGATAGCACTCTGTCCTCTACATATTGGATCTGTCGTGTTCCTCTGGGAATCGTCCAGTCTGAGATAATTAGCAGTACCAACTATGTATCCAAATGCTGAAAAAATGTCGGCAACTGTAAGAAAAACCAGAAGTTTTCTGACAGGAGTTTGGAATTCTACTATCTTGTTGTAGGTAAGCAATAGTGCAAATCCCCCAGTAAGAGAAAGAGAGGCACTAAGCAGAGTAATGGCCGCTGCTAAAGGTGTACAATGTTTGACCAGATTCATGCTGTTCTTTATTGATTAAGATACAATGAAGATTTTTTTTAATAAAATGATGGTTAGATAAACATTGATGTAATCTTAAGTAGAGATACATGTATGCTCATCTGTTTACATTTAAAGGGCATATGAAAGCTTCCATCTTTATCAAGGTAGTCTTTTTGGACTATGGAATGTAATTAGATAAATGAAGTTAAATACACTACATTTTGAGCTAGACATATGCAATCACTATAGACAATGTCTTTAAATTCATCAAATCCTATATTGAAACTTAAAATAATTCTATCTGATTATATATAAAATCAATGTACTTCGAATGATAAAATAGTAGAATGAAGGTAAATTCCATCTCAAATACATGAAGATTTCAAATTAAACGCTAGCAATGAATTAAATAGATTATAATCGTCATGTACGAGATAACAATTTTGCCAGTCATGAAATAAAGCATCATCATTAACAATTGATAAAAATGGGTAAGCCCCCTTTGCATACGCAGTGCACATCAAATGGATTTTCACATAATCTCTTTGTATCCATTTCTGTTGTATTATCCAACACTGGAAATTAGTTGATTATTTATTGTACGTATATTTCTACATTCTGTATATTTCCCTTACATCCAATAAATCTAATTATTGGAGAGCTCTATCATATTGTAAATTAAATTTTACAATCACCTCTATCCGGTAAATACAAAGTTTACAACCTCCTATTAAGAGGGTCATTCATAAATTTCGTACACAATTCATCATTTTATTTTTACAAGACTGAAGATGAACAAATTTTCATATGTAAATGCATTTATTTTGTCAATCTGTGAAGTTCATTCAATCTGATTAAATGAAACTCGTGTGAACGAATTTTAAAAGCAACATGTTTTGTCATTACGGAGCACGGTTAACAACATAGTGATGTCAAAAACAATGTCCATGTTAAAGACTACACCTTGTATTTCCTACAAATAAATACAACCTATTACTTCCAAACTTTTAAATGAATTAAAAACTTTACAGGGCTTGGATATCGAATATCTGAAACATAATCCTTCATTGTGTTCATATTCTTTTTCACCCTATAACTATGGTCCTGCTGGAACATTATTACTAGTGACATTAATATCGTAATAATAAGGACCTTAAATCACTAATTTTAAAAGGTCCTAAATATAAGAAACCCCGATCCTTAAACTGGTGTCGTAATTTCATAAATATTATGGATTCTGTAGACGATTTCGCCAGGCGATGGGCCAGACTTGAAAACGACTTTTCAACCTTATTTACAACTGTACAACTATTCCCCACGGTAAATTTCAGTCCAGGCTTTCTGACATCATTGACAGCTGCTGCTTTTTTAAAAATAAAAATGGAATTCGTAAATTTACTTACCTTGTCATTGGTAATTTGCAAAATTACTTTGTTAAAACATGCTGATTGTACACACGAATACTCTGAAGACAATATCTATGTGTTTTTTGGAGACCGGGTCTTCGAATAATCTGTTGGAATTCCCTTGGTTACCAACTGCGCCGTTTTGAGCAGATTTATTTCTGTTCGATATGAAGCATAATTTGATCAAAATCTTTCACTTGAAAAGAAAACACCTGCTGTGACCCTCAACTCAACAACCGTTGTCAACGATTTTTTCGTTATTTCCTATCATGACAAGGCACACACGGCGAGTGTTCACTCACCCATGGCACCTGATTCCGCCTCTTTTGTTTTAGAGGTCCATTTTGCTCCGCTCCTATTTTGTAATGTTTATTTGACTTTTGAGCTCTTGAAATACTGTTCGTTATCTCCATATATTTTATTCGAGAACGTTTCTCAAAATTACTTTACGTTTTCATTTCATGCATTTCATCTTCCCAATTCATAAAAACGTATCTATAACATTTGACATTACGTTTGCTAACAATTGTTCTATTAGAATAAGTTCGATTTTCAATGTTTCAAATTCTTCACCGCATAACTCTGCTTTCACAAGTTCCGCAACAGTGAGGCGCACATTACGTTTAATGACGTTACTTACTCTTTTGACAAGATTTTTAATTAGAATTTCTTCTTTGCAGACTGTGCATACATTCAAAATCTTTATAATTAAAAATTATGTTTTCATTACATACAAATGCATTGTTTATTTTCGCATATTTACTGGTTTATCCAGCATTTTAAGAGTTTGTTTTAGAGTATCCCACATGAAAAACAAAATTTTATTGCTATTCACTGCAACGTGACGTTTTTTTTCACTTCATGATTTTTTGCTTTCTTTTTTAAAATCAAGTTTGTCTGTCTTTAGAAATGAAGCGATGTATTTCATTACCTTATAGCATCTAAAGTAATAGAACGATGCCTATCTTAAACAGTTAAATTTTATTTATTTTATGTGCCAATTATTAGAGTTATGGCTAAAGATATTATGAAGTGCAAAACTAGTAAAAAATAACTTCTTTTAAATTCAAAGCGGTGTAAAGACTGATGTCACTGACGGAAAGGTTGTTTTGCTTACTAGCATGCATGCAAGTTGTTGCATGCACAATTATCATAGATTAATTAAAAGATATATTAAGTTCACAAGTGGCGTATATAAAGTGAACTCATTCTTTTGAACATTGAATAAGAATTGGCTTCAAAATGCTTTTAATTTTGTATTCAGAGATTTAATATTCTTTTGTGCAGTGTGTCAACGCACTTAGAAAAAATTACACACTTTGAAAAATTTTGAAAAAAAATGGGACAAAATGAAATCAATTTTCACAGTGTATTGTATTGAGAGTGTACATAATTTTTTTTTACCATGGAGGCACTAAAAAATTGTATAATTCAAAATTCCCGTACATTTAGAAATCGTAACCATTCTTTAAAAAACTGATGAATTGGTCTACGCTCATTGAGAACGAAGAGGAGACAGGTAGAAGGCCCCCCAGCCCAATTCTTTTTCGTGCCTAAATATTTGCAGTCAAATTTGTCTCTTTATTTCTTAAGTTAACGTAAAATTAATGAAAAATTAAAGCAAGCCTCCCGAAAAACGCAAAAAATTGTATAAGCACACCTTAATGTATTAAACGATACAGTTGTCTGCTGTAACTGAGATCACTCCGTGTTAAAATGTACAACGGACTTTGAAAAATTTTGCACTATGTAATGAACTATGTGGAGATAACGAACAGTTTTCGAGCTCAAAGGTCCATTAAACATTATAAAATAGGATCAAGCAAACACGGACCTCCAAAACATCAGAGGTTTGAGCAGGTGCCGTGGTGGAGCGAGCTTCCCCTGCCGACCGATTGCACCCGCCGTGTGCTCCTTGTCATGAAAAATCCATCGACAACTCAGTGTGTAAATAATTGCCTATTTAAGTTCAGCTTTCATTCCTTGAATTAAACACTCGTCTGACTACATTGAGCTTGTTTTCTGCCAAATAACAAAAGACATGTTTGTTCCAAAAATATGTCATTTATTATGAAATGACAACATATAATAAAATACATAAAACAGAATTAAAAAAGACTGGGAGAAAATGTAACCTTAAAACACAATTCCTGAGAAAAATTATTAAACAATTATGCAATAACAATTGGTCTCCCAGTATGTGACTATTACATAACATATATAATTTGGCAAAATAGGTGGCGGCCTCCAAATTATGGCCTTATACATATGAATTGTCTCAAAATCCCATTATTTGGCCTAAGGCCATTCCAAGTTTTTTCTCTGTTTAGCGTCCACCCATCTTTCTAAAACCTAGCTACCTATTCGCAAAAAACACACAAGTCAAAAAAAATAAAACACATATTTTATAGTTATAAGAATGACGTAATTTAAAAGATATGATTTCATTTATCAATTTTTCATTAAGAAAGTTATTTTCTTCAGCAAAATTAAAATATTAGATATTGAAACTATTCCAATAATGAAATATTATAGAAATATTTAGAGATATTGCCGAAAATCATAAATTTTGACCTGAATATTTAATTTTTGGACTCCTGATTCTGTTTGTTTTTTCTGACATGGGGTGTCAAAAACCAAGGCGCACGCGGACGCTAAACACAGAAAAAACTTGGAATGGCCTAAATGGGATATGACCACACAATATAATATACATATAAAAAGGAATTAAATTACAATGAAAACATAGACATATGAGTATGAGGTGTCCTAATGTACAGTTAAAGTCTGTTTGGGGATGGAGGTGGGTAATCCGAAAAATATTTCAGCAAATGTTTGGCCGTCTTGTCTTTACAATAGCAGTAGAAACTAGTGCTAATTGTAACGGGAACCGTTACAGATGTTCCCCAAACGCTCCCCAACTCCCTTCTCGTGCCATATTCCCTGTAAGTTTCATTAAAGAAGGCTACATCTTTGCATTTTTGACTTTAACAACGTTTTAAAGGATACTAATTATATTCAAATTTTAACATTGCACGCGTGCCTATGTAAATGCACCTGCATAATGACCACATAATCTTGTCTACACTTTCTATATATTAAAATATACTTTATATGAAAGCATTTCGTTCAAAAGTATTAAAACTCACTCATTCAAGTGTATTTTTAATTTCACTCGTTCCAATGCACGCATGTGCGACGTGCATGATGACCATACCTATCTTGTAGGAGGCACTTATATCTATTTATGTTCTAAATCCCATCCTGTTTGGTTGAAAACAAAGGGAATTATAGCCATTTCCAGTTTCAGCCAATCAGATTGCAGCACATGTGCATCCACGTGATTTCAAGATTTTTTTGTAAATCATATTGTAGAATATATAATGCATAACTATGTTTTAAATTTCAAAGCATTTCGTCAAAAAACAAAGGGGAATGTAGCCATTTAAAATTTCAGCCAATCAGAATGCAGCACACGTGCATGCGCGTGATTTCTGAAATTTTTCTGTAAATCATATTACAGTGTATTCTAAAGTATGACTATGTTTTAAATTTCAAAGCATTTCATCAAAAAACAAAGGAAATATAGCCATTTAAAGTTTCAGCCAATCAGATTGCAGGGCACGTGCATGCGCGTGATTTCATGAAATTTTTTCCATATTATATTGTGGGATATCCTAATTCATGACAATGTTAAAAATTTCAAAGCATTTCATCGGAAAACAAAAGAGATATTGAGATTTTTGTTTCAGCCAATC